CCCCCGGTTCTCTGGGTACCGCAGGGATGGAGGATGCTCTGCCAGTGCATCCCACCCCGGGGAGAGGGGCTGGGTGCTGCCAGCCCCCCCTGAACCCCATCGCTGCCACCCCCGGTGCCCCAGTGCCAGCTGCTGGTCCCGATCCTGCCCCAGGTGCCAAGAACTCCACCAGTGTCCGAGAGCATTGTCTGAGCAGCTCTGGAGCCCCCCTGGGAACGAGGGGCGGTTTGGAAGCAGCGCTGTTTTCACCCCCGGGCTGCCGGTTGCGAATTTCTCCGGGAGTTTCACTCTCTCCGCGTTTGCTCTGTCTGATAGTGTTGTGCAAGCAAAGCCAAGATCTCGAGGCTTCCGCGCAGATCCAGCCCCTGCCACAGCCATCTCTGCCYCCGGCTGCGCCCATCGCAGCCCCTCAGGGCACCCCTTCGGTGGAGGAGCTCATCCAGCAGAGTCAGTGGAACCTGCAGCAGCAGGAGCAGCATCTGCTCGCCATGAGACAGGTTGGTTTGAGGTGAACGTTCACCTGGAGTGAAGGAGGAGATGTTCTTTTCCTTATTTTTTGTTGTGTGGCAACAGCGTTCCCCTGGAATGGGTGTATTTGATGTGTAGGTGCTGATTTATGATTAAAACCTTCTATCGTGATTAAAACCTTCTATCGTGATTAAAACCTTCTATCGTGATTAAAACCTTCTATCGTGATTAAAACCTTTCATTGTGATTAAAACCTTTTATTATTGGTGTAACTGTGAACTTTTGCTTTGTTAGGTTGGTGTCGTGTAGATTCACAGATAGGCAGGTGGAAGAAATTACTGAGATTTTTCTGGTCTGATTGTCTTCATAAAGTCTCTTACAGGATGTGCTGTAGTTCAAATTTAAAATGGAACTTAAAAGCATCTAGGGTTTATTTAATTTTAATCTAATTTAACTATGAGAATTATCATAATGATAAATGCATTGAAAATCCTTATTAGCTTTCGAGTGGAATAAATTGTGGCCTTGGTTTGATGCTGCTGATTGTTGGGAGCATTTCCAGTTTGTAATATTCCAACTTAGATATGCTTGGGGTGTATCAACCAGCTGATTTTTGCAGATGTTTAGCTGTTAAAGCTGCTGAAAACCAAACTGAAAAGTTCATTGAACCGTGGTGATGTTCCTTACATTTATGAGCTTTTCCAATTATTTTTTATGACGTGATAGATTTTAGCAGTAGAACTGGACTTCTCCTGAAAAACTTGAAGAGCCTTTTCTTCTCAAAACCAAATAATTGAAACATTTTCATGAGGTCACAGTGCTTGTAAAAGACTTTGGTTCTTGAGGTAACTACTTATGTCCAAGAGGATAAGGATGCAGCAGCTTCATTATTGAAAAGAATGTTTGCTAAAATATAAATATTTC